GGGGAGGGGAAGAGTGCAGAGGGTCTGAGTCTGCGTGAGAGGGACTCACAAAGAGGATGAGGCATTCGGTAATTTCCTTGTCAAGTAGGAAACAATACAAAGATGACATAGTTAACCAACATTTATGTAGTTTGCAAAACCTCTTTTCACAAATGTGACCTGGTTTTGTGAAATCAACCTTGGAGTTAGATGTTCCCCTCATCAGGTGGTACAGATCAGTAACCAGAATCAAACCTGCAACACTGGTCCCCATGATGTTTCCGAGATACTACACTGTTTCTAAATCTGAGGGCCAATCTTGTTAGCAGAGATGGCCTCCCCAGGTTCTTGTCTTCACCCAAGGAAGAATTCAGATGTGAGACAAACACCACTGCTAACAGGGCAGAAAGGTTTAATGAGGTAGGGCATCCGACAGAATGCATAGGTTCCTCTCCAGACAGAAACAGAGTGCTCCAGCACTCACACTGGGAAAAGCAGGGCCACACAGTCCAATGGTGAGAATGCACCTGACAGGTCAGACGGGCATCTCAGGACATAGCTGAGTCCGTGGCTAGGCACTAAGAATGGCACACAGTGCAGCAGCAACCACCCCATGCTGTTATCCAATTCCCAGTCCAAATTCATGCCAGGGTCTGAAAATAGGAACACTAGTTGTGCTGTCAATCAACACCATCTCACAGACACTTCTGGAGTGCAAAACTGGGATTAGGAGAAGGGTAGAATAAATAATTTCCTGAAAGTCTTACAGGAGCAAGGCACCCCAAAAAGAAAAGAAAAAAGATGAAAAAAAAAAAAAAAACTCATGAATTACCAACTACATTCTATCGAGATGGAATCTGGGTGCCGAATACAAGAGTCACTGGATGTAATCAAAATACCACTTTAGTTTTTGACTTTTGCCATCTTTTATATATTTTTATTGAGCAGGGTTCAGGTAGATTATTGTGCTCCTAAATGGAAAATTGGATAAATTGCCTTTTTCACTCTTTGATAACTGACAATCTTTTCATGGCCCCTTTAAGTCAAAAGGAAGTCTCGTTTTAGAATGTTTTCTATTGAAAATAGACCTTAGTTTAAAAAAAATGTTTTCTGTGCAAGATGGTAGCTAGCTCCATCAGTCTTCACTCTAAGTCACTCTGGTATCCACTTCTCTTCCCCACAGAAGGGTCCTGGCTGGCAGCTACCTGCCTTCGGCTCTCTCCCCAACTTATGGGACTGCTCTTTGATCTGGGAGGGCCCAGGACAGCCCAGGGGATGGTCAGTTCTTGTCTGCTATGGTGGGACCGTACAACCTGGGTCTTTTTCTTGTAGGGCTTTTAAAGGTCCTTTGGAAACTCTTTGTCACCAGAGCCCTTCCCCTCATCCCTTTGGCCTACACAAGTACAGGCAGCTTCCTGTGCATTCTAGGATTCTTGGTTCCCTCCACTTTTTTTTTTTTTTTTTTTTTTTTTTTTTGGACAGGCAGAGTTAGACAGTGAGAGAAAGATAGAGAGAAAGGTCTTCCTTCCGTTGGTTCACTCCCCACAAATGGCGGCTACGACCGGTGGACTGCACCAATCCGAAGCCAGGAGCCAGGTGCTTCTTCCTGGTCTCCCATGCGGGTGCAAGGCCCAAGCCCTTGGGCCATCCTCCACTGCCCTCCCGGGCCACAGCAGAGCTGGACTGGAAGAAGAGCAACCGGGACAGAATCTGGCGCCCCAACCTGGACTAGAACCTGGGGTGCTGGCGCCACATTTCGAGGCAGATCAAAGGCAATCCCATGTTGGGTTTGGTCTGAGGCCCACCCTGGCCCAGGGAAACATAGACACACTGATCACCGTGCTGGCTCTGGGAGCACAGGCAGACCCCAGAACAGCCACCTCTGCTCTGGCCACTCTCTAACTCATGGGCAAGAGCCAGTTCTGTTCTCCTGGGGCTGGGAGTGGAGGTGCAATTTTCAAGATCCCTGGCCTCACAGAAGCCTCTCTTGAGGCTTGCAGACAAGGAGGCAGCACCAGCACTTCCCTCCAGGTGGGAGGAGGGTGGGAATTCAACAGCATCTGTGAATTCCTTCCCCAGACTGTTGATCTCCCCAGAAGCAGAACTGAGGTGGGCAGGGAGATGGCTCAGCCAAGAGGAGCTGGAGATTACCAGCACATGCAGCCCAAGCTGTCCAGCACTGGCTGTTAATATCCAATATGGGCTGTTTCTGCAGTGACCTTTCTGTCATTATAGTAAAATTATCATGGCTGACACCCATCCCATCATGCACCTCACACCATGATGGGTTTCTGGAGGCAGGCAGTACTCAAGCATCACCCCAACCCCATGCTGTTGGAATATTCAGTTAAACCTGCTCCAGACACCAACCACTTGCCTAGCGACAGCGTAAAAGCAAGGTTCTGAACCTTTCCCTCTGGCTGTCCTCTGCCGGTCACAAGTCCTGCTTCCCTGCTGACCTTCCCTACATCTCTTCCTTGAATTCCTCGTGGCACAGGACAGGAGCCTGGACCAAGCTCAGCCTGGGCTCACCCCTGGCCTCTGCACACAACACTGATTTCGTTCATGGAAACTTTGTTCCGGTATTCACCTGCAGCTGATAGTGTTCCAATCTGTCTCGCAGCCTGGGCTTCTCAGGGCCTGTGTCTCTGTCTCTCTTCTTCCAACAGCTGAGTACAAGTCGTAGAACAAAGCAGGTGCTGAGTCACACTTTAATGAATGGGCAACTGGGTGGCTCTGAAACCAGCTTCTCTGGGGCAGTAAGTCTCTGAGACACCTAAATGGACACCCACTTTAGTACTCCCTGGGAGACTCCAACTGTTCTTACATTCATAAGAGGCTGGTAGCCTCACATAATTTATATACCTCAGCATTTGCCAACCAAGAAATTTGAAAGATGATTAAACACAGGGTGAAAAAAAATCTTTCCTCAAGGAAGTACTGAATAAATGAGTAAGAAATAGCTCACGTGTTTAGGAAGTTCTAGGATGCCAAATCTAACCACCTCTGAAAAAACTTTCCCCAAAGCTGTGGGAGCTTAAGCTTTTATTATTAGTATCACTGGACAAGACAAAGAAAAAAATATTTACAATAGTTAGCAGGATGTTCATGTAATTAACACAGGTGATGCTCCTCATAGGATTCTCTAGTCTCTCCGTATATTTTAACATGTTTATAATAAAGTCTCCTTAAAAACTGAAGCTGTACGGTGACACTGTGGTGCAGCGCTTTAAGCTGCAGCACCAGCATTCCATACGGTGCCCATTTCTGACCCAGCTGCTCCATTTCCTGTGCAGCTCCCTGCTAATGCACCTGGGAAAGCAGTGAAGATGGCCCAAATGCATGGGCCCCTGCCACCCTCATGGGTTATCAGAGAGAAGCTCCCGTCTTCAGCTTCACCCAGCCCTGGCTGGTTCAGCCATTTGGGGAGTGGACAAGCGGATGGAAGCTCTGACTCTCCTCCTTGCCCCTAACTTTCAAATAAATCAGTAAATCTTTAAGAAAAAAATAAAGGACTCTGATCTCACACTTCTACCACTGTCGCTGGCATGACTTTGACCAAGAGCTGCCAAGGCATGGAACCTTGGAGAAGGCAGACCCACTCTTCAGGGACAGGGCTTTCATCTGCTGGACCCTGTGGCTCTTTCAGCTCTGAGTAACAGGCGGCAACCTCCTCCCGCTGTGTAGTGGGTTCTCAGAGCAGTGCACCCACCAAAGCGCGATTTCACAAGACGAGGGCCGGCAGGGCCGTCACCACACTCTTCGTAGGTCAGCTGGATGAAGTTAGTGCTCCACTTTGAGAGCGACGGGTGGGCCAGGTGAGCACCCCCTGCTGGATCCGTGGAGAAGGGGACTCGTGGCCTCCTGAAATGCAGTTTCTGACAATTCTGCCTCAAGCCTTGGAACTTTAGGTTCCCAGAACACATTCTCCACTTAAATTATTCAAGAAGCAGGGAAAAAAGAGAGACCTCATCCACGGATTCACTCCTCAAATGCTGTGAAGGCTGAAGCACCGGGGTCTCCCGTGTGGGTGGCAGGGACACACCCACTCGAGCCATCAGCAGGAGCCACAGCTGGGAACTGGAGCTGGACTTGAAACCAGGGGCTAGGCCAAGTGCCCCTGAAGTCTGGAGTTTTTAGGGCCCTAATACTAGCTCCTGGTTCACAAGCAATGACAGAAACTAAGTTTCCACTCGCGGAATGCGGACAAAGACCCTGGACTAGCTTGAGAGGTCGGGTGTGGAGCACGCCTCGGCTAATCCCATCGGCCACCGAATCCAGCCAGCGCGGCCTCCGGGAAGGCGCGGCGTGGAGCCCCGGCAGAGCGCTTCCCGGGCTGCGACGTCTGCAAGACTGGCCGCGGAGGCCGCGCGGGGCCCAGATTTTAAAGTGCCAGGCTTTTCCTCCTGGTCTCCCATGCAGGTTCAGGAGCCCAAACACCTGGGCCATCCTCCACTGCCCTCCCGGGCCACAGCAGAGAGCTGGAGTGGAAGAGGGGCAGCCGGGACTAGAACTCGGCGCCCATAAGGGATGCCCGCGCCGCAGGCGGAGAATTAACCTAGTGCGCCACGGCGCCGACCCCTTCAAGTGCTAATTAAAAAAAAAAAAAAAAAAAAAAAAAAAGTGCCAGTATTGGCAACCGGCGAGAACCCATTTAAAAAGCCTGTCCTCTCGCCTCGCCGCACGGCTCCGTTCTTCTCACCCGGACCCCGGCTGAGCGCGGGTGGGCGCCGGAGGGCTCTGGTGACTCCCAGGAGACAGCGGCGTTCGGGAGCACCCGGAGGTGGCCGGCCATAACCCAGGCACCACCTCCGATGGCGATCCAGCGCCGAGGAGAGGGCTGGCGGGCGCAGCCACCACAGGCCGGAAGCACGCATCCTTGGACCACGCACGCGCAGCCGCGGACCGCCACAAGCACGCCTGCGCAGAGACGCTGGTCCGGAGTCTCACGGGATTGATTTTGCGCAGGCGCAGCCCGCAGATTTCCCCACGACTGCCAGTGCGCAGGCGCACGTCCCAGTCAGCCTAGTCCCGTAAACAGGGGTCGCTGGTGACACTTCTACTTCCGGGTCACGCTTGAAAGCGGCTGTCGGGAACCACCTAGGCCCGGGTCCGGTGAGTGCGGCCCTTGTTACGGGAGGGTCTGCAGCCGGGCCCCAGCCCGAGGCTCCGCGCCCAAGAACGTGTCCACCACTCCCGCTTGAGGTCTGCGGACCGTCGAGGCCGCCACGCGTTTTGGGCCGGGAGCCTCCCGAGCAGGTGCACCAAGTGGCCGGGCACCCCCACCCCCGCCTTCGCTAGGCTTTGGGCTTCGCGGCCGGAGCGAAGGGCAGCAGGGGGACGAGGCCCCGGAGGGCGGGTCGCGGCTTTCTTGGAGCGTCGGTGGTCTCGTCGTGTGTCCACCCACGGCTCGCCGCGTACGGGATGTCTGTCTCCGTTCCAGCAGAACTCGGGTTGCTCCCATAGGGGGTCTCTCCAGCTGCGCCTTATCCTGCCGTCACACTCGGTCCTGTGCAGACGTGTTTAACAAGCTGGAAGAGTAGATTTTGCTGCAGAACAGAAAAATCGAGATCAGTGTGTTTCTCATAAAACGCATTTTCCGCGATTGCATTTAGTTTCTTTTTCCAGCTTCCTACTGTCATGTTGTCGTTTTAAGATACGTTTGCCCAAATCTATTCCTTAGTTGTCGCGAATAGCCAATTGTTAGTTTTTAATTCGCTTTAAGTCTCGCTCGTTAGAAACAAAACGCTCCTTCAGTGCTGTTGAGCTTTGGTTTGTTTTTACAACTTTAGATGATTTCAGAGTAGCTACACTTTTTGCTTTCTTCCTTATCTTAGGATGTGCCACAAGTATTCCCACTCTTTTCTCTGCTGAAGACATTTAACAATATTTCACAGATGCCTTATCATGAACATGGATGTGCTGTCCCGTAGCCTTTTTGCCTGTCTTCGCTGCCATACCCTTAGCAGAAGCCAGTGTTTGTGAAACACCTGCACTCTGGAGTTCTCTGCTGGCCAGACCCCGGCCTTCCCGCTGCTTCCAGCTCCCAGGGAGGGGAAAGGGGCGCATGAGTGAGCTGCAGTTACCTGAGGGGAGCCGAGCGCAGAGACTGCAGAGATCCACAGGGAAGGAGTGTATTCTGGCGCCGGCAGCCTTGTCTTGTTTGGAAACCACACAGCTCCTCAGGGGTCCTCGTGTGGACTGGGTCAGAGTTGAGCAGGGTCCTGTCAGCTCCTGTCATCCGCTCTGCGTCCAGATCTGAAATCTCCAGGTCTGGGGAAGGCCTCCCAAGGGCGGAGGCGCTCAGCGGTGTCCCTGTGTGCCCCTGCGACCTCTTTGTTCAGGTGCTGTGGAGCATGTGAACACTCGGGGCCCAGTGAGTCCAGTATGTGGTACATCATGCAGAGCATTCAGAGCAAGTACTCCCTCTCGGAGCGCCTGATCCGGACCATCGCCGCCATCCGTTCCTTCCCGCATGATAACGTGGAGGATCTGATCAGGGGGGTGAGTGCCATCCCCTGGGGAGAGTCTTTTGGGAGGCAGAGTCGGGAAACTGGTAAACCCTAATAGACTGCAGATTGAAAGCTTCCGCTAGCACAAGAGCACAGGGAGTCTCCATTTTTTTTTTTTTTTTTTAAGATTTATTTACTTATTTGAAAGGCAGAGTTAGAAAGAGGCAGAGAGAGAGAGAGAGGTCTTCCATCTGCTCGTTCACTCCCCAAATGGCTGCAACAGCTGGAGCTGGGCCAATCAGAAGCCAGGAGCCAGGAGTTTCTTCTGGGTCTCCCACATGGGTGCAGGGGCCCAAGGAACTGGGGCATCTTCCACTATTTTCCCAGGCCATAGCAGAGAGCTGGATAGGAAGTGGACCAGCTGGGACTCGAACTGGTGCCAAAGTGGGATGCCAGCACTGCCGGCAACAGCTTTACCTGCTACCCCACAGTGCCAGCCCCTCCATTTTTTAATATAAACTTATTTTTTAATTCCATCTTCCTTGAACTACTTTAAAGATTTATTTATTTGAAAGGCAGAGTTAAAGAGAGAATGAAAGAGAGATTGATCTTTTTAAAAATTTGTTTCTTTATTTGAAAGAGTTATACAGAGAGAGAAGGAGAGGCAGAGAGAGAGAGAGATCCTCCGTCTGCTGGGTCACTCCCCAGTTGGTCACAATGGCCAGAGCTGTGCCGATCCGAAGCCAAGAGCTTCTTCTGGGTCTCCCACACAGGTGCAGGGCCCCAAAGACTTGGAGTAACTTCCACTGCATTCCCAGGCCGTAACAGAGAACTGGATCGGAAGTGGGGTGTTGAGTCTCGAACTGGCACCCATATGGGATGCTGGTACTGCAGGCAGCGGCTTTACCCACTACGCCATGCCACAATGCTGCCCTGTGTCCATTGCTTTCAAATGCTTATCAACATGACCATCAAAATATATTTTTCCCTATGTTTGCCTTGCTTCCCTTCTCCTTTTTGCTTTGACCATCTGATATTTTTCTTCATGAAATATGTTCTGGATGACGGTCATCTCATGCCTTCCATAAAATCTGTCTGGAGGTGGTATGTGTAGAACCCGCCCAGCTCAGCCCTGCTTTCTAAGAGAGGAAGAGGCAAACAAAGCCGAGGTGGCTTCAGACCCTCTGAGCTCACTCCTGTGTTAAAATCACATGTGAGGGGACCAGTACTGTGGCGTAGTAGGTTAAGCCTTTGCCTGTGGTGCTGGCATCCCATATGGGCCCTGGCTGCTCCACTTCCAATTCAGCTCCCTGCTAATGGCCTGGGAAAGCAGTAGAAGATGGCCCAAGTATTTGGGACCCTGAACCCACGTTGGAGATTTGGAGGAAGCTCCTGGCTCCTGGCTTCAGATCAGCCCATCTCTGGTCAATGCAGCCATTTGAGGAGTAAACCAGTGGATGGAAGACCTCTCTCTCTCTCTCTCTCTCTCTCTCTCTCTCTCTCTGTAACTCTGCCTTTCAAATAAATAAATAAATCATTAAAAAAAATTACATGTGAGATTTCCTTTGTCCTCTGTCTCTTAAAAAATTTATTTCATTTTGATTTATTTGAAAGGCATAGTGTTCCCATCCACTGGTTTATTCCCCAGATGACCTCAGTAGCTAGGGCTGGGGTTAGCTGAAGCCAGGAGCCCAGAACTCAGTCTGGGTCTCCCAGATCAGTACAGGGACCTAAGTACTTGGGTCATTATCTGGTGCCTACCAGGGCATTCCCAGGGATTTTCGGTACAGGTGTATTAGGAAGCTGGGATCAGGAGCAGAGCTGTGACTTGAACCCAGGCACTCCAGGGTTAGACAAAGGCACTCCAGGAAGACAAAGTTAATCCCTGAAATGCATGGTAATTATAGATGAAGACATCCTGAATATCTGATACCTAACCTCTGCTGTTCAGTAATTGTTATATGACCAGTATCCTAGAAGGTCTTTGATACCATACTCTGCACATTATTCCTCATTTGCAGTCCAGGGCTGAGCGCTGTAGCTGCTGCACAGTTATGTGGTGCAGCCAGAGAAGACAGAGTCCTGCAGTGTAGGCTTGTTCCCCACAGAAGTGGTGTCAGAAGGCTCAGCCGTAGAAACACTGTCACTTTCTAATTCCAGCTCTGCTGCTGAGTCATTCAGGGCCTTAGGTCTGACTGCCGTCTCCCCCCATCATCAGACTGGGAATAGAAGGACCAGCAGGGCCTGGTACAGAGAATGCTGAGGTTAAGAGGCTGCTTTAGAAATGCTTGTAAGTGGGCCAGCGTTGTGGCACAGCAGGTCAAGCCTCCGCCTAGGCTGCCAGCACCTGTATCAGAATGCCAGGTCAGGTCTCAGCTGCCCTGCTTTCAATCTAGCTGCCTGCTAATGAGCCTGGAGAGGCAGCAGAAGATGGCCCAAGTGCTCGGGCCCGTGACACACAAGTGGTGGCAGATGGAGTTCAAAGGTCCTGGCTTCAGCCTGGCCCAGCCCGGGCTATTGTGGCCTTTTGGGGAGCGACTCAGTGGAAAGATCTGTCTCTCTATTACTCTCTTTTGTTTTTCAGCCTGGCCCAGCCCTAGCTGTTGCAGCCATTTGGAGAGTAAACCAGTAGATGAAATGTATCTCTCTGACTCTGTTGCCTTTCAAATTAACCTATTTTACCTATTTTAAAGGGGGGGGGGGGGGGGGAGGCTGTGGCATAATGGGTAAAGCTGCCGCCTGCGGTGCCAGCATCCCGTATGGGCGCTGGTTCGAATCCTCTTCTGATCTAGCTCTCTGCTGTGGCCGGGGAAAGCAGTGAAAGATGGCCCAAGTGTTTGGACCCCTGCATCTGTGTGGGAGACCCAGAAGAAGCTTCTAGCTCCTGGCTTCAGATTGGCCCAGCTTTCTGGCCATTGTGGCCATTTGAGGAGTGAGTCAGTGGATCACTGTCTCTGTCTCTCCCTCTCTCTCTGTAACTCTGCCTCACAAAATAAATAAATCTTTTTAAAAAAGAAAAATGTTTACACATGAAAATAATGTTAAGAGGACCTACTGTTAGTGATGGTTGTCTGTTGGTTGGACCTCTGACTCCCTGACTTTTTCAGAGCATGGTGGCTGCACAAAGTGAGTTTCCTGCCTGATGAAAAGGTTCTCTGGCCAGCGCCACGGCTCAATAGGCTAATCCTCCACCTAGCAGCTCTGGCACACTGGGTTCTAGTCCCGGTCGGGGTGCCAGATTCTGTCGCGGTTGCCCCTCTTCCAGGCCAGCTCTCTGCTGTGGCCCAGGAGTGCAGTGGAGGATGGCCCAAGTGCTTGGGCCCTGCACCCCATGGGAAACCAGGAGAAGCACCTGGCTCCTGTCTTCGGATCAGTGTAGTGCGCCGGCCGCAGCACGCCAGCCGTGGCGGCCATTGGAGGGTGAACCAATGGCAAAAGGAAGACCTTTCTCTCTGTCTCTCTCTCTCTCACTATCCACTCTGCCTGTCAAAAAAAAAAAAAAAAAAAAAAAAAAAACGAAAGAAAGAAAAGGTTCTTGTTTCTTTCACTCATTGAGTGATATCCGTATGATTTTTTGGCTGGCTACCTTGTAGAGAAAGAGTGATGGTTCCTTTGCTTCGTCTTCAGAGTGTCCCCTTGGCTTGGACTTGGTATGATAGAATCGTTCCCTTAGTAGGAATGGAAAGCAGGAGCCAGTAGCAGGTTCACACTTCCAGCAGGTTGGAACTGTCTTTACCCTGCTTCACTTCTGGGTGAGCCAGAGTGGAGCCCACTGATGAAAGCGCCCTTGTCGTGCAGGGAGCCGATGTGAACTGCAGCCACGGCACGCTGAGGCCCCTGCACTGTGCCTGTATGGTGTCAGACGCTGACTGTGCAGAGCTGCTCCTGGAGAAAGGGGCTGAGGTAATGTTCCGACCCTCACACCAGTGAGTCACTGATTCCTGAGAATTCCCCCGTCTTCCTCCATCTCTTCCCACCCTGAGTGTGACCTCCGCGCAGAATCTGCACAGATGCAGAGCAGCCAGCGATCCTGGGGCTTCCTCCCTCTGCCCTTCTCTCTTCTCTTGGATTTAAGCTGTCGATGGCCCCAGCTTACCTTCTAGGAGTACTTTATACTTGCACTGAATCCTCTGCTTGCCCGTTGACTGATGAAATCTGAAGGATGAGACCTGACTCTGACACTGCTGGGAGCTTGCCTGGGGCACCCCTGTCCGAAGGGCGGGGTACTCGTGCTGTTTTCCTCCCCTCGCTATGGTATGTTTTAGTGTAAGGAAACCAGAAAGTCCTTGAAGTTAAGTTCATTTCGGTGCAAAGACTTTGAAATTACGCATGATTTTCTCATAATGTGCGTTTGCTATGAACATTGAGAAGGCCCCACAAACTGGCAAGGCTTTGGACTCCTCGTTTCCATTCTGGTTGATGTTAACAGGCTTCCAAGTTAGGACCAGTGAGGTAATGCAGAACTCTTTCTGTGCGGAGTACTCCAGCCATGCTCTGTGTGACAAGGGCTCAGACTTCATCCTTCCGCATTAGGCCTTCCTCTGGTAGATTCTAATGCACAGAGACGGGACTCACTCTGCAGACGCCCATGGAGAGCTGGCCAGCAGGAGAGTGCACGTGCAGAGCACTGCTGGTCTGGGTGGTTCTCCTGCTTGCTCCTCAGCCCCTGGCTGAGAGGGTGGTGTAGCACACGTGGTGGGTACACGCACACTTCTTTGCTGTCCCACTGTCTTCCTCCAGTCGCCTGTCCACTGTGACGTAGCTCCTCCCTTTCCACAGGTGAATGCCCTGGATGGCTACCACCGAACAGCCTTGCACTACGCGGCCGAGAAGGATGAGGCTTGTGTGGAAGTGCTGTTGGAGTATGGTGCAGACCCCAATGCTCTGGACGGCAACAGAGACACCCCGCTCCACTGGGCGGCCTTCAAGAACAGTGCTGAGTGCGTCCGGGCCCTCCTGGAGAGCGGGGCCTCTGTGAACGCCCTGGACTACAACAACGACACTCCACTCAGCTGGGCGGCCATGAAGGGGAATCTGGAGAGCGTCAGCATCCTGCTGGATTATGGCGCAGAGGTGAGAGTCATCAACCTCAAGGGTCAGACACCCATCTCCCGCCTCGTGGCTCTGCTCGTCAGGGGGCTTGGAACAGAGAAAGAGGACGCTTGCTTTGAGTTGCTCCACAGGGCTGTCGGGCACTTTGAACTGAGGAAGAATGGTGCCATGCCGCGAGAGGTGGCCAGAGACCAGCAGCTGTGTGAAAAGCTGACCATTCTGTGCTCAGCCCCGGGAACTCTAAAGACACTCTCTCGCTACGCCGTGCGCCGTAGCCTGGGACTCCAGTACCTGCCGGAGGCGGTGAAGGGCCTTCCGCTGCCGGCTTCTTTGAAGGAGTACCTGCTGCTTCTAGAATAGCCGGGAGCATCCCAGGCAGCTGCAGAACAGCACTTGTTTCTGTTGTGCCGTTTATAGATTTCGAGGCAAGGCGTCACAACAGTAACTACCACCTCCCCTACCCAAAGCAAGCAACCAAACAAAAAAACTCTCACTTGTTTTCCGTTTATTGCTTACTTGGCTTCTTACAGTGCCCCCTGCAAAACAAGAGGGAAACACCCCCCCCCAACCCCCATTCTCCCCAGCTAAATCTCTGGGAAGAGGGAGAGTGTGAAGAGTGTGTGGGTTCCTTTGGGGGCATGATTTAATACTGCAGAGCCCTTTCAGAAAGCTCTTTATGGATCTGGGCAGAAGTTTCAGAAAAGCACAATTCCAGCCCAAAGCAGTTGCACCTCCAGGATGAAGATGTGCAGATGCAGAGCGGTGCTTTGTCAAGGGGCGCTCAGAGGGGACGGGCCTTCCCCTCATCTTTGCTGTGGGTGTGCCTAGGGCTCATGGGAGTTCAGCTGTGTTACTTCAGAAAGATGATCTCGCTGCTTGCCACGTAACAGGTAGCAGGGTCTGTGGAGTCCTAAGAATCCCTGCAGTGCTGAGAACTTTCCCTTGAGTGCTTCTAGTGCCTTCGCTCCCTGGCAGCCACTGTGCACGCGTGGCCACGGCGTTTCCATGTGCTCGTGGCAGCAGAGGGGTTGGGTGACCTGGACCCCTCCCTCTTGGTCACCTTCTTTCCCTGTGGAAAACTCACTCTGCTGAGAGCTGGTGTTCTTTGTCTTGTTTGGGAATTCTGACCTGGGTGAGAGTTGCAGAGAATGAGAAAAGAGCATAGAGAGCGTTGAGATGGCCCGCCTACCCAAACACCGGTTTGGGTGAACACATAGCCACTGACACTGCTCCTTTTCATGTTCCTAAAGGGGATCCAATCATCACTGATCTTAGATGCTTGTATGCAAATTTGAAGAAACTTTTTTTTTTAAAACCAATTGAATGGGATCTGCTGACACAGCTAATTTGGAATAGTGTGGTCTGTTTGTCCTTTGCCGTTGATGTTTTTTGCCCATTTAAAAAGAGAAGAAATAAATAGTTCTAAAGGCAAGTTTGGTAATTTCTACAGTTACTATGTGTTCCCACGGCTTTTCCTTAGGCCTGGCTCCTGGGCAGCAGTGATTCTGGACACTAATGGAGAGAACAGAGGGCTTGGGCTTCCCCTTCCTTCTTACCTCCCCACCCCAAATTTGAGATTACTGTTTTTGTCTTCCACAATGGCTTCATGTTGAGCCACGAAGGAAGCTTTTAACACACAGGGATGCCAAGATCTCACTTAGAAACTCCGCCGTGTGGCCAGGCAGTTGAGGTTCTTCAAGTGCTTCTGTGGTACCAGGAGTGAGATCTACTGCTTTGGTGGGTGGCTATGGACAGGAACCACTCAGGGAAGTTCTTAAAATACTTAAGACCCAAGCTCCACAGCAAAGGCTATTTTTAAAAATATTTATTTATTATTTATTTATTTTCATGTTATTTGAAAGGCAGAGAGAGATCTTCCATTTACTGGTTCAAACTCCACAAACGTGCCTAATAGCCAGAGTCAAGCCAGGCTGAAGCCAGGAGCCTAGAACTCAATCCAGGTTCCCCACGTAAGTGGCAGGGACCCAAGTACTTGAGCCATCACATGGCCTCCTGATGTGCACACTAGCAGGAAGCCAGAGTTAGGAGTGGAGCTGGGTCTTAGCAGGCTGTTTGAGACTGATTGGTCCCAAATGGGCACTAGTGTGACTGATTAATGGGCACTAGTATGTTTCAAGACTGGGTGATTCTTAACCTGAGGCTGGCTCACACTGCTTCAGGTAATTTTGATTTTCATCACAGCCACTGAATATTTGGGAAGAGGAAAATATTTTGTACACACCTGTTTTCTGTTACTCATAATCACTTGGGTTGCTGGTGGCTAATTGTCTACCTCTACTTAGTTTCACTTATCTTTAATGATTTACTTGAAGGGCAGAGTGACACATATCTTCCATCTGCTGGTTAATTCCTCAAATGCCTGCAACAGCCAGGGCAGAGCCAGGCCAAACCCAGGAGCCCAGAACACCATCCAGGTCTCAGGTGGGTGGCAGCGGCCCAAGTACCTAGCTGCCTTCCCAGATGCATTAGCAGGAACGTGGATTGGAAGTGGAGCAGCCGGGACCACAACCAGCTCCAAAGTGGGATGCCAGAGTTGCCAGCGGTAGCTTTCCCCTGTTGCACCACAGCACTGGGTCCCACTTTGTCTGCAGCTGGGGGAAACAGCATGTGCTTCATAGATTTCTAAGAGGTCTTCACCACATATTCCACCCCCAGACCATATTACGATCCTGAGCTTGCTTTTCTCTCCAGAGTGATACTTCTCTTCTGTGATTAGCTTTCCACCCAGATGGCCCTTGCCTTGCCATCATTTTCTCAAGAAATGATTCTAGAATTAAAGATAGAAAAAAGAACCTGTAAATTCACAGCAGTTAGCGCTATACATGTCGGCAGTGAGTGCCTGAGCTGCTCTCTCACTCGTTTTCTCAGCCTGGTGTTGAACTTGAGGAGACAAGGAATGGAAAAGAGGGAACTGGCGCAGGTCTGAAACGAACTGCGTCTGAGACCAGGTTTGTGAAAGACCTCGTGCCTGGCAGGCCCTCCTGGTGGGGCTCTCCTCTGAAGGGGAGCTGCCCCCTCTCACAGCTACTTGTGGGATTCAGTGATGACGTAAAGGCCTATTTGCTGTTCATTTCTCTAAAGAAACAAGCAAGGAGCGTTTGGCTGCTTTAATTTCTGATTCTGACCCAGACCACCTCAGTCACTGTTCAGAGCTGTTTTAAGGGTATGGCAGGAACCATCTCAGCCAGCAAAAGGGATGCACTTGAGATAACCCTCCTTCACCCCTTCTCACACGGGGCTGGGAGGGGCGCACAGGGTCAGGGCTGCAGCGAGCAGGACGAGGAGGCGGCTCAGTGTGCAGAGCTCTGGGCCTCAGAGGTAGTGAAGTACGCGGACGACCACAGGCTGGCTGCGTGAAGTCTGCAGGGGCCGAGGGAGGAGCAAACAGCAGAAGCAGGAGTGCAGTGGCCAGGTGGCGTTTATTTGTGTAGTCAGAGTGCGTCACTGCAGCAGGAGTGGTGGAGGAGCCGACACTCTTTGTTAACACAAAGAAATAAATAAAGCGCGTGTAAAGGGGAGTTCTACCTGTGTGGTCCAGCAGGAGCACTACAGGACCCTGCCTGTGTAACAGACCAGGCTGGGGTGCGGGTCATGACCGAGTCTACTACAGGAGCTTCCACCTACTGCTGCTCCCGGTTCCCGGCCAGAGCTGGTCACGGCCTTGGGTGCACAAGTACAGGGACCCTAATGACTAAAGAGCTACGACATGGACACGGCGTGCATCTTTGATGTGATCAGACAGCCTGTCCCTCGCTCCGAGGCTTAGACGGTGGCTTCCCCAGACCGCTTCCGGGAGATGTGCTCCAGATGCGCGTGCTCGGAGGTGTCCAAGTCAATCTCGTACTTGGCTAGGATTTTGAGGATGGGCCGCAGCTTCAGCCACCACTGTTCCTTGGGGATTCGGTGCCTACAGAAGAATGAGGGAGATGGTGATAAAATTTCTCAGCTTCTACCAGCAGCTTATGGGAAGAAGCTGGGCAGGGGGCCCTGGGCATCACATCCAAAGTGGCTAAGGTGACAGCACTGCTTCTAAAAAAGGGCACTGAAGACAGTGGCCAGGTGGAGGACAGCACCGTCTGACAGGATGTGGACACTGGAGACAGCAGTGCACTCACTCAAAGTCCGTCTGATTCTGCAGCTCAGTCACTGGTTGGAAGACCAGAGCCCTCTTACGCATTCCCAGAACACAGCCGGAGTCAGGGGTGTTGGCGAAGATCCGCCCTGCAATCAGAACAACCCATGAGCTGCCGCACCGGGGACCCAGCCTCTGCACAGGGCACGCACTCCCACCCTACCTACCGTTGCGGTAACTCTCTTTGATCTTCCCAGCCATCCAGTTCATGGCCTTGGCTCCCATCTTAGTAGCAAAGTTCCTGTCAAAGGGAGTGGGGCTCCCGCCCTGAAAAAGAATTACACAGGTGGCAGGGATGGCAGAGACTCATGGATACACAAGCAGAGGGAACAGTGGGCAGACACAGAAATCCAGATGCTGCCTGTGAAGGGAGTCCTAGGATGGTGTCAGCAGCCAGGGGAGCTGGCCGTCTCCCTGGCAGGAGAGAACCAGGAAGGGAAGGGGCTGCCAGTCCCACAGCTGCCCCTCATGCCACTGCTGTGCTGTCTGGTCAGCCACCATCACCCACGACAGGGAGGAGTCCTATGGCCACAAGGGACTGCCAAGGGCTGCCCCTCAGGAGGAGGTAAAACATCAAAGAAAGCCTCTGGACTCAGAGGTCGGGGCACCTGACCCCAGAATACCCCTTCCAGCTGAGACACCAGGGTCCACTTGTGGAAGAGAACACCTGCTGTGGGGGGAGCTGTGAGTACGGCCTGCCTGGACAGGGGACTCCCTCCCCTGGAAGACCAGCAGGCTCCCCGCCCGATGAGCACGGTGGGGAGAAGGCCCTGCACCACCTGGAAAACTAACTTCTCTCTAAAGCCCCCGTCCTCATCTGAGACGATCTCCTGATGTCCAGAGGTGCTTCTGTGACATCGGGGGTAAGTAACGAAGCACCAGGTCACCCCAACGACACCCTGCCCAGTGGTGCAGCCGGGACGGCCTTGCAGGCTGCTGGGCGTGGCCATCGAGCGCAGCGCATACCTGCTGCATGTGGCCAAGCACGTTCTTCCTGCTGTCGAAGATGCCCTTCCCCTCCTCAGAGTACAGGTTGAAGATGAAGTCCGTGGTGTAATTCTCATTGCACTTCTCGTTCCTGCCAGGGAGGGGCCAGGCCTGACTTCCTGCCACCAAAGGCTCTGTGCCTGCCCCCCCCGCCCCATGCACAATGGATTCCTCAGGGCACCCCAACCATGGACCCGTTCCACAGGTAGGGCCAAAGCCTGCCTCCCCTTTCTTCCCCCGGAACAAGCCGCAGGTGCAGTACCTCAGCACCAAGCCTCTCTTCACAGTCGTCTTCATCTTTTGCACCAGGTGTTCAACATTCGCCTGAAAGCCAAAGTTAACCCTGGGCCTAGCTGGGAGTGGGCAAAGCTGGTGAGTGCACAGGGCACACTGACAGCCCTGGCCTGGGCTCTGCCCCCTTCCAGAAGCTCCGTGCAACAGCAGCAGGACCCCAGTTCAGCCGCCCACCCCACCTCCAGCCTCCCTCATCCCGGGGCACACTGTGCTGCCGATGCAAAGCAGTCAGGCGCCTGGATGCAGCGAGGTCCTCTGAGTGCCAAGGTGGATGTGCAGGGTGCAGATGCTGCCCCCTGCTCCGGGAAGGGCTGGCCAGGCTCTTGGACTGGGAGAGCCCTCAGCTCCTGTACTACACTTTGAACTGGGATCTGGGAAAATAAGGACCCTGTGGTGCTCTGTGAAGTAGGGGTCCAGGCCCTGCCCAGGAGGTGAGAGAACACCTCCCTGAAAAGCCAAACATCGGCAAGCCCGTGCAGAGCTGGCTGCAGAGGCCAGCTACCCATGAGGGCCTCTCTCAGCTTGTCTCATCCACAGTACAGAGGACGTGCCTGCTCAGAACACGTCTCAGCAGAGCAGAGTCTGGCTACGGCAGACACTGCGAAGTGGCCTGCACAGTGCTCCCTCCAGCCCTACCAGGACAGACCCTCACCCTGAGCAACACAACACAGGTCACCAGGGCAAGTAGCAGGGGCCAAGGTCTTTGTCTACCTGCAGGTCTCGGATGGTGAAGGGCTCCTCAAAAATGTAGGCAGCATCGGCCCCGGCTGCCAGTCCTGCCATGGTGGCCAGGTAGCCGCAGTAGCCGCCCATGGTCTCGATGATGAACACCCGGCGCTTGGTGCCCGCTGCGGACTGCTTGATACGGTCACACGTCTGCAGGCACGGGGAAGCAGAGTCACTTCTCTGGACCTTGCTGGAGCCTACCCTGGAGCCCCAGGGTTCTCCCCTCGGGCCGGCAGCGCCCTAGGCCCCGTGTGTTCCCCACAACTAGACAA